CCAGATTTGGGGATGTATAATCTTAATTTTTTTTTAATTGTCCCAGGTGTTGCTGACTCTACCCGAGCTCTACCGTGTTAACTACTTCCACCTCTCCTCCAGGCCACTGCTCATGCTGGAGCAGCTCCTCATGAATATGAAAGTGGACTGGGTAGCTGTGGCTGTGCAGACACTACACCAGCTCTTAGCTGGACAGGAAATTGGTTTTGCTGTAGAAGATATTGATAACTTGCTCTCCAAGTATGCAGAAAAAGCCCTTGACTTCCCTTTCGCATTAAAAGAAAAGAGATCAGGTATCTGACCTTGAAAATGTTGGTTTTGCCCTTGGGAATGAAGGGCAAGTTTTCCCCCAAATCATCTCACCAATTGCGCCCATAGCATTTTGAGACGAGTCTCTCCCTCCAATCCAAGACATGTCCTTGACTTTCTTGTAATGATCCTAGGCTTGTAAACTTAAGGATCAACAGCTCTGAAAGTTTCTCAGCCTTTACTCTCTTGCTCCTTTTCAGGGTCTCCTTTCTTCTATGTACTGTGCAATTTCATTTGATTTCTGTGTAATATAAAATAACAGCCAACTTTAGCAGTTCTAACGCCCTTCACTCAGCTGCATCTCCCCTAGAATCAAATAGGGGCTTAATCTTTAATACTATTTCCTCCTTCCAGATCTCTGTACCTTTTTATATAAGGACTTTTGAACTTCTGGTTCTATTAATTACACATGCACAGCTCCCTCTCCTGTTTTACCAGCCCCTTTTAGCCCCCATGCTAGCTTCAGTTCTCCTGGGCTTAACTCACTGTGGTAATTTTAGAACCTGAAGAGCAGAGGGTGCTGCAGATCAAGTTTGGTGCTTTTGTTGACCATGTGCACACATGCATTTTCTTTCATGAAGAGTAGCCCACAGTTCCTCCTGAAATGTGAATCATTGTGGACTAAGCTTCATGAACGATGTAATAATTTGTTACATAGCTAATCCTGTTTTGTACTAACATTTTTATGTGCTGCTGTGAATGGCCTCTTCTAATCTTCCTAAACATGATTTAGATATATGACCAATGTTACTTATTTTTTCCTCTGTCCTAGATTCTGTCATACGTATCCAAGAGAGTCTCAGTCAAATATTGGAGTGTGAAGCACTGTCTAAATCAGCATCACCAGAACCATCTTATGCCAGCTTTAGTGGTAAGATTTGAGGTCTCAATGCTATTTTATTTCAACATATTTTTACTTTTTTTTATTCCCTGCTTGTGTCTGAACTCTGCCTTCTGCCATTTAATAGTAGCTTTGGTCATATTTAGCACAGGTTAGTAGGTCTCTGCAGTTGGGTACTTTGGGCCCAGTTAAAAGAAAACTTGACAGGAGTTAAGGGTGAAGTGTGTGGCTTTGTTTTGGCCTTTGGTAGGTATCTGCAAAGCACCTGAAGAGTGATGAATCAGAACCAGAGCTCCACAGTGGTGTCTTGATCCTACAGTTCGGGTTTCTGAGCTATTCTCTAGTTTCATATTCTGCATATGTGAGGTGATGATGGAGTCTTGGATCTGTCTGGGCAGCTCTTCCGTCTCTCATGATAGCCAGGACATAGTTTGTATGCCAGCTAATTGTCACCACACTGTTACAAAACCTGGATATTGTCCTCTAGTGTTCCTCTGCAATCCAGTAGCTACTTGGATGAATGTAAGTTAGCTTTTTTGGAATGGAGTGGTGTGTGTTTGTATGTCTAGTATCACTGTGTACAGGAGGTGTCTCGCAGAGCTGCAGGAGGATTTGAACCTTTCAGTTAGCCTGAAGTGTATCGTACAAACTAAGAGCCTATTTAGAGCTATAAATCTGAGACCCTAAATGCCTTGATGGTAACATCAAAGATGCCAAAGGCCACAGACTTGCAAATTCCTACCTCTTTGAATTGATTTGCCCGCTTTAGATTGTGATGGGGAGCAGAACAGGGAAGGATATGCAATCGCTAGTCACGGTGTAACTCTCTTGAGATGCTAAAGAAAAGACAGTCTTTGTGAATGTTAGTCTGCCTGTACTGGATATCCTTAAAATTATATTTTATGCCATCCTATATATTTGGTATCCATATATCTGTGTGGTTTTTTATTTTTTTCCAAATCTCTGCTTATGATACAAGAACAGATGTTGACAAGACCTAGTCTTAGACATCTAAAGTTTTAATCACAAATGTCTGTTAATAAATAAGCAGCAAGTCAGATAACCTTAATAAGTTTGTAATATTTTATGTTCTTCAAGACTCTATTATAAACAGCTAAAATTCCATTCTGTGCTTGTCTTTCTGGGGTCTTTTAAGGCATTACTACGTCTGCAAGTTCCAGAGATAGAAGCCTGCAGCAGAATTTGCCTCCTCAAGAATTTGTACCACCTGAGAAGCCACCACCAAAACAGCAATGGATACCCGATGACACTGAAATGATCTGTATGGTCTGCAAAACTGAACGCTTTACTATGGTAAGGAACAGAGATTAAGTACAGGCATTTCTAGAATTGTGATCCTAATGTGAATGCTTGCTCAGATTCTGTTTCTTAAGAGCTCCTGGCTACTTCAGCAAGTTTGCCTATGTCAGCGTAGGTTTGCTAAGACTCACCCTGTTTAACCATTAGTTTCTGTTTAGATCAATTAATGAGACAAATGGCAGCAGTGGCAACAGTGTTAACTCTGCACAGAGTCTCAGAGACCTCTCTGTGAGGCTCCCGTGAGAACATGGAGATTGGCAGTGGCAGTGGCACAGGGCTGTCTAACTGACTGTGCGGGCTGCTATGAATAACATGAGCATAACATAAGTCACCTTGCCCGTACACAGGAGAGTCAACTTTGTTGTTTACGCTTTTCTACAACTGGTGTTGTATGAAGTACTCAAATGCAGTGGTACTGTTAAGGAAAAAATTAGTTGTGAGTTCTGTATATGTTTGACAATCTGTTTTATATTGCTTACAAACAGCACTACTTTCTCAAAGCTATGTTGCTTTTGAATTTTGAAATAAATAAGATGTTGTCAGAAAGACTGTCCACAGCTTTAAACTTTTTCAGGAGATCTAAATTGATCACCGATCTAAATATGATCAAAATTGGAACAATTGGAAAGTCTAACACTGCAACAAGCTTATCAGTTGTTCTGT